GAAAACAAACCATTTTAAAGAAAACTATTTCAGATAAAAGTTGTTTGGTTCGAAGGAATCTATAAAAAGGTAATTGGTTTGATCTTGAATAGTCATTTGAAGGTCACATGAAGATCATATTTTCAATTTTTTAAATGGAATACTCCATATATTATTACATATTATTATAGCTTATCTCGAGAGCTTTCCAAAATATTATAATAAAATATTTTTTCGTTAAAATTTTTTAACATGAAGATCATATTTTCAATTTTTTAAATGGAATACTCCATATATTATTACATATTATTATAGCTTATCTCGAGAGCTTTCCAAAATATTATAATAAAATATTTTTTCGTTAAAATTTTTTAACATGAAGATCATATTTTCAATTTTTTAAATGGAATACTCCATATATTATTACATATTATTATAGCTTATCTCGAGAGCTTTCCAAAATATTATAATAAAATATTTTTTCGTTAAAATTTTTTAACATGAAGATCATATTTTCAATTTTTTAAATGGAATACTCCATATATTATTACATATTATTATAGCTTATCTCGAGAGCTTTCCAAAATATTATAATAAAATATTTTTTCGTTAAAATTTTTTAACATGAAGATCATATTTTCAATTTTTTAAATGGAATACTCCATATATTATTACATATTATTATAGCTTATCTCGAGAGCTTTCCAAAATATTATAATAAAATATTTTTTCGTTAAAATTTTTTCGAGTAATAACACTTGAAATTTTTAGCAGTTTGACATAGAATTCAAAATATCTCGTAAAATATTCATCTTTCGATTATCTTGCCTTAATGCTTTTTTGCACAGAATAATCAGACAAATTAATTGGCTTAAAAAAGCACAAAAAATTTTTTTATAATTATTATATAAAAAATTTTTTGTTTTTTCAAATTAGTTGAAAAAAATGTTGATATCAACAAAATCCCCTAAACAACATAATTATAATTTCTGCGGATTAGTGACACTGTTGAGGTAGTAAGTCCATAAATTGTATGAAGTCGTTTTGATACATGTGTGTGTATGTATCAAATAACAAATATTATATAACATAAGTGATATTTAATTGAAAGGAAAATAAATAAAAATTATATAAATACGTGAAAACAAAGTGTATAGAGATGAACAAAGTGAAAAAATGGTTTATATATTTATATGTAAGAAGATAAAAATTATTATATCAAACGTAATTAAACGTAACTGATTCAAATGCGAAGAACGATGTTTCAATTATAATCATATGATGTTTATTAAGGCACGTCAAAAAACTGAAAAGCTAATAATTACGTTTAATTACGTTTCATATAATTTATCCTCTTACATATAAATATATAAACCACTTTTTTACTTTGCTCATTTCTATGCACTTTATTTTCACTTATTTGTGTAATTTTTACTTATTCTCCTTTTAATTAAATGTCACAATGCACTTATGTTATATAATATTTGTTATTTGACACTATACACGCATATATCAAAACGACTTCGCAAAATTTATGGACTTACTACTTCAGCAATGTGACTAATCCGCAAAAATTAAAATTGTATTGTCTAGAGGTTTTTGTTGGTACCAACATTTTTTCATCTAGTTTTCGGGTAAATGTCGTGTAACCCGGCAAGCAAGCTTGGATATTTGCACATACATCGCCGCTTGCAGCTTCAACGCTGGCTTTAAAAGTTTATTAATAATGATGTGGAAATGTGTGTGTCACATACACATGAACTTGACTACAGAATCGATATCTTACAACTTCGAAAAATCAGTCGACAGCAACCGCATCAACATCGTCAAGCATAGGATATCGAGCTAATTGTATAATCCCGATATTGCTGACTAAAGAATAGATCTCAAAATTATCACTTTATAAACAAGAAAATCTTACTTAAAACATTAAACGCGTTATTCTCAAAATGATGTTTTCAAAATCGGTGGACATCAGAACTTTTACAATTTTAATCCAAATTCTTTCAATTTTTACAGTTATTTTCAATTAAGTTATCTAAAGAAATACATGTAATTTTTACGATAATTAATTAATAACATACTTTTTTTGCAGTCCATGCTTTTATGTCGAATTTTTAGGTAAAAATTAAATGTTTTTTTCACGCATGTATCATTTACATAATTTTTAATATTTTTTAAATCGGACATGTATTTAGCAAATTTAATACAGATTAAGAAAATGTAAAAAAATTTTTGTTATAGCAAACTGTGCATCCGTTCTGGTGCTCATCGTTTAATTATTTCTTTACGCGCAGGACTTCATATGACGTGCTGTAGCGCCGCCATTTTGTTTCTCGGGCAATTCTATATATACACATTTTGTATACGAAAGAACGACTAATAATTTGGTATAAAAAGATTTTCTGTATTGTGTATAACTTTTTAATAATCAACTTCCAAAGTTAGACATGATTTTGAGGCTTCAAGAGTGGACTAAAAACCTACCCCTTAAAGCAAAAGGTCATATATTCTCCTAGTCAGTTTACTGGAGGATGCTGTAATTTATATATTTCTCGAACATTTGTAGAGTCAGTAACTTTGAAAGTTTGCCATGCTATAAAAAGAAACAACAGAATTTATCCATAAAATATACTAAAACACATTATCCTAAATAATCTTACAATAATAGACATTACAATATACGTACAAATCATTGTATAATATACTTACAAATCTTTTCAACCAATAAAAAATGTTTGGCATCAGGTACTGGTTGTACTGGTCGATCTTTATTACAAAGGATGCTATGATGAATAGGATCAAATGCTTGTATTACGGATTGTGTGGCACAGGCCAAAGTGCTGTTGTTAAGATCGAGGTTATATGCATTTCTAACTTCAGCCACTACATTGGGTACTTTGACAAAATTATCTACTGTTAGTATAATTGACAGAGTCATATTAAACAATAATTACATAGTGTTAAATTACATTGATAAATATGATACTTACATATTTTATTAAACAGAAACATATGTTTCTTGCTTATTTTTGTATAGACTTTTGATTCGTAGCATTTATTAATGGTACATAGATATCTATTTCAAAGTCAAATATAAAAGGAATGCTATCCATTTTGCAGGATTGGGAAGTAACTCGTTATTTGTAACGAAACTGTAACTTAACTTAGTTACTTTTTCCCACCTGTAACTGTAACTTAACTTAGTTACTTATATTTTTAGTAACTTGTAACTTTTATAACAGTTATTTTAATAGTTATTATATTTGGGAAACGTAAAATAAAATTAAAATTATATAATAATCGTATATTAATTTAATAAATTTATCAAGGCATTTATGGAGCATGTGATTAAATTCTTTTACCTCTACAAGACTATTATTCAATTTTTATTATGTTAAGTACAGATTTGAAATTTGTTAAGTGGATAGACTAATTAATGTGATAGATATTAATTATAAAATTCAATTCTTACATTTTAGTAAAGCTTAAAATGTAAGATTTTTGTATTTACAATACTAATTTACAATCATTTCAAGAAAGTAACTTAAAAGTAACGACTCGTTACTTTTTAAGTAACTATAATTGTAACGAGTTACTTTTCATAGCCAGTAACTTGTAACTGCAATTAGTTACATTTTCAGTAAGGGGAACTGTATCTAGTTACTTTTAAAAAGTAACTTTCCTATCCCTATCATTTTGTCACAATTCGCTTCAGATAAACTTCACTTTCATATTTCACTTTCCCGCTACTGGGATTCCTCGATTCCTCGCTATTCCCTTTAATAAAATGCAGGTAAAAATTTTACACTGAGGAAACACGAACATTTCTTCTAAAGTTTTAGAACACTTCGGAGTAATAGGCGAGTGACCAGTCGGAAACGCTCGCAAGGTTTTGGAACAACTATAGAGTAAAATTTTCCTCAAAGAGGATGTTTTGGAACCCCTAGAGCAGTGATAGAAACTGATTCCCGAACAGCACGCATCAGCACGGGAGAGGATACGCTCCACTCACGCAACCGTGTCCATGAGCCTCACGGACACGGTCGCGTGAGTATGTAGTTAATTTTAAAAGAATAATAGAAAAATTGTATTTATATTTTGCTCATATTGGTGAGGGAAATAAAATTAGTCACTTGTAATAATTTTCTTTTCAATACGTTTACGCACCTTTGTCTATTCGATTAATTGACAATATTACGTCATAACATTTACTCCGACTCCATAGTATCGATAATCGCACTTGGTTCACTTTCATTACGTCATATCCTTCGCACTTCTAACAAAAGATTTTCTCTTTATGCTCCTTTCTAGTATTCTTTATTCAATTTCGATTCCCACTCGGGAGCACTCAGGGGAGCCTCCAATCCAAGAGTCGGGTAGTCGGGAGAGTAAAAACGCATGTATTTTAAAATCTTTGTTTTGTAGCAGGGCTCGGCACATTTTGCCCATTTCGGCCGATTTTCGGAAGCTATGTCTTCTATCTCCCCCTTGTCATGCAAGTGACGGTCGTGTTTCTAAGCTTGAAGCCGCGACTGGCTGCGACCGTCACTTGAATGGCCCGCCGCGCGGCAAAGGGGAGATAGAAGCATAGCTCCCGAGAATCGGCCGAAATGGGCAAAATGTGCCGAGCCCTGTTTTATAGTACTTCTTTTGTATTGATTGCCGATTATATAATTATTTGTAGCTCGCAACTTCGATGACGTGCTAGCTTTTTTTTACAGATTTGTTTGAACTGAGGATTCGCTGGCTTGCTCTCATCTAAGCTGTTTTGCAATATGTTTCATAGCATAGAACCGATAGGCTCTTTCGTGATCCTCATGCTCACTCGCGAACAGACATTAGGCCTCGCTTACATGATTAGAATCTTCTAGAACATTCTAGTTATTACTTTTTCACCTTTAAACGAGAGCCTCACGCTGAGATCACGCATTGAACGCGTGATCTCGCGATCCAAAATTTTCTAAAATAATTTCCGATTGTTTGATTTCCGAACAATAGAAAAGAACTAATAAATTGGTTTTCTCTGTGTGTACGGCTTCTAATTCAGAAGCCTAAGTTTTCCCAAGATACTAGTATCCCAAGATATTCCAAGATATTTTCGGAATACAAACAATAAACGAAATGCCCATGCAGGATTACTGTATTTCTTATTGTCTATTATCTTTTAGTTTTTTTTACTTTTTGTATCTTAAGGTCTGTTATTCTTAGCGAGGTTGAGGTGTCTGGACGTAAAATAAATAATGCTTTATCTAATGTACAACGTCCTTTGTTTTTATGTATCGTTTAGTTGATAAATATTATCGGATTTGTATTCAAAAACTGTCGAAATAGCGAGACTTATACGATATTTTAAAATTTGATATGCGCGATGTAATTTGCGCGTGTGAAGCGCCAATATGACGTATAAGTAGGGAGTGCAATTTGCTAATCGCATTGCTGCGAACCAAACTTGAAATATTCCGCGAATTTCGCTCGGTCTACAACATTCGCGTGCATGAGTGTTGCCGCAGGCGCGTTCGCTGCAACATTGACGTGAAATTGCAGTTCATATCTCAATGCTCGCGTATAAATATATAACAGGATATAATTTCGGTATTTGCTTAATCCATATGTTTATTTTTCGACAGGCTCTCATTAACCAAAGTCATAACGCAGCTTGATGTATGACGATTCATACTTGTGCCGCGCAGTGACTTATCACGTTTGATCGATAAAAACATACATTCGAACAAAAATAACGCATCTCAATCTCTTGTAAGGAAGAAATAAGATAAAAATGTAAAAGACTGTTTTTTTTTGTAACGGGTAGGAAATGCCTATGCATATCACTGGCCTTTTAGGAAAGATCAAGGGTTTATGTCGGACTCGCACCTACTAAAACTTTTTCGAGTGTCTTACCTCAATCGTAATCCTAAGAGCGTTCCGAGAATCGCTTGCGTATAATATTCAGAACGTCCCCCAGTCAGACGCTATTGTACGTCTTTTCATAAACTAACTGCAGCGGAGAGGGGATATCATCACCCCTCGCCGCCCCAATCCAAAGAGATGCAATAAGACCGAAAGCCCCAGCCTATTTGATCCATTCGCATCTCCCCCCTCCCATCTCCCCTTCTCCCTTCAAAGCAACGACTCTCGGTTATCGAAGTCTGACACGAAGAACCTTCGTGCCTTCCAAGAGCCCCTGCCAGCCCGCCGTATCTCTTATCTTGCTTACATCCTCATCCTCCTTCCCCAAAGCCACTCATCCACCCATCTCGCCCCTCTACTACCCAACCCATAAAAAAAGAAAAAACAATGTTATAGTAATCGTCGTCTGCAGTGATAGAAATTTTGATTCCCGAGCAGCATGTATCAGCACGGAAGAGGATACGCACACACTCATGCGACCGTGTCCGTGAAGCTCATGGACGATCGCGTAAGTGTGTGTGTATCCTTTCCCGTGCTGATGCGTGCTGCTCGGGAATCAAAGTTTCTGTCACTGGTCGTTTGTCTCTTTACACAACTGTCTCAGTTGTATTCTTTAAATTTCTTGCAGCCTTTGACTCTTACAGGATAAATTTTTCACTCTGATTCGTTGAATGAATATTTTTGCACGAAATTGAAGAGTGAATCTGACATGCTTTACCGGCAGAGGAATATATTCACTTCAATCGATTAAAACCTTCACTCATAGTTGGAATCCACCCTAATCTTGAGCGAGACATTCACTCTTATGGTTGCGAGTGGCAGTATTCTCATTATCGTCTCAAGTGAAAATATCACCACTTTTCACTGGTTTTGGGCGACGGTTCACTCGAAGAAATTCAGAGAGTACCCCTGTAATATTTTATATGCTACGCAAAGAAACATTTTATATATGCGTACATTTTATATATGCGTATAAAATATCAAAGAAATTCAGGAGATCCAATTCTACGTACTGAACACGCACACGTAGTCTGACAGTAAAGGAACTAGCGTAATAAAATGTGCGCGATGGGATAGGGTTATTTATTCAGCGTATGTTCTTCATTGTTATCGGTTATCTGGTCGCGTTTCATTTCGCTACAGACAAATTGTTCTTATCCAGTCAAACTGGAGTAGTAGTGGAAATAGATATATGAATTCGCGCGTGTGGTATCGGACTAGCGTATGAAGCTCGAGACTTTATTCAATTTGTCTATGATCGTTTTATTCTCGATTATTTATATTTCGTAAAAATGTTATAAAATCTATAAAAAAATCATAAATATACTTTCAAGCCAATATAATAAAATTATATACAGGAATGATCGCAAATATTCATTTAAGTATTTCATTTAATTGCATATATAAAGAAGATCACAATAAAACCGTCAGTTTATATAAAAATTTCTAATCTTTATAAAAATAAATTAAAGAAATTAACAATCTAGAATTTTCTTCTCAATATTCGAATCTTTAAGAAAAAAAAGATTACATATTTTAATTTGTCAAAAAATTTTATTATTAAAGTATACGAAAATAGATCATTTTTTCCAATCGAGACAAATAAAATAATTAACAATTTTAAAACTAATATTTTTAATAACTTGTGCTATTAAATTATTATAATAGATATCTTGTTAAAATTATCGTAAAGATTAGCTATATCTATCTTTTCTTTTTATTCGTGATTAAAATTTGACGGTACAGAAATCTTAATTACATATGATATAACAAAAAATAAATAAGTTATTTATATAAAAATTTTTTTTATATATTATATTTAATGTAAAGCAGAGCTCGGAATTTCGTTGCCCATTTCGGCCGATTCTCGGGAGCTACGCCTTCTATCTTCCTCTTGCCGCGAGGGAGCCACGCAAGTGACAGTCGCGCCTCCAAGTTTGAAGCCGCGACTGGCCGTGATCGTCACTTGCATGACCTGCTCGCGGCAAAGGGAAGATAAAAGACATAGTTCCCGAGAATCGGCCGAAATGTGCAACTAATTCCAAGTTCTGATGTAAAGAATACCGAAAAATTATCTTTATTTCATATTTTTATCTTACACTTTGACATCTCTTTCTTCATCTTGCACACTGTCATAAAAAACGACTCTCTAGTAACTTTGCTTTTTTGTTATATAACAGGCAATTTAAATGACTCAACAGTGTTTAACACGTTTGCACCAAAGTCACATATCTGTGACGCAATGATTATTCACTAGAAATCAACATTATCTATGTGTGGCGACGAAATCTTTTTTAAGTTTATATTGTCATACTAAATTTTACACAATTAGAAAAAAAAATTAGATGAGCTATGAGAAGAGTCCTCTAAATGGACCATGCTATAGTGAATATATTATATAAACTTCTATTTCCACCAGTCTTCAATCCACTAGTTTACGCCTAATTTAAAATTTAAAATTGACTGGGGTTGAAAATGATTTCAGTGTGCTAGATTAGAGTTAACTTTTAGCTGGAATACTGGGTTACGTACACCCGAGCTGTATACATGGTGTCCCAGATCCTCTTCCGCATTTTGTGGGAATGTAAAAAGGGTTGAGGTGAACATAAAAGTTCTATATCGTTTTGCGATATTCGCAATAATAACCGAGAAATTAATTGTAAAGAATTAAAGAAAAACGCACACTGAATGGTTAAAGGAGGAGCGCTCGCGTCCCAGTAATATAGTAGATAGATCATCGCGTGGCTTATATCGCTATAATCATACGTCTTGCCGCATTGCGCCAAAGCGAGATGTAAGAATGCAGCGATATAAGTATAGGCAATCTGGAGGGGTTGAGAGGTGCTCGCGGCCTAATAATATAACGCACGGATCGCCGATGCGCGATTAGGCCGCGAGCACCTTTCAACTATTTGGCGTGCGTTTTTCCTTAATATTTTACAATTAATTTCTTGGTTATTATTGCGAATTTCGCAAAACGGAATAGCATTTTTATATTTACCTCAACCAGTGTTGCCATCTTAGTTATTTTATAACCAAATTTGGCCTTTTTGAAGGTTTGTTTGGTTAGAAAAATTTCACTTGGTTATTTGGTTATAAAATCTGGTTATATAATTCTTCGTTAGTAATTTTTTTAGTTTTCCCTATTCCGTGATTTATGGCTCCTGCCCACAGGACGCGGCAATGCTTGCCACGCGGCGGAATTTCGTGCGACAACCAATCAATATGCTGCTTTTCCGTAAGAGCTAGAAGGTCATTACGGAAAGCAGCATATTGATTGGCTGTCGTGCGGACTTCCGCCGCGCAGTAAGCATTACCGCGTCCTGTGTGTAGGAGCCATTAGTGATCTCACTACCACATTAGTATTGTTCGTTTTGTTTTGTCGGGTCTGCTCTGAGTCGACCCGGCGAGCTCTGATTGATTCGTGGTGATGCGAATATAATAGATGGTGGTGGCGATCTACAATAGATGGAGTAAGGAGTAGAAGTAGTAGTAAAGCTGGCACACATTTTTCGTAACAGTAACCGTAAGACGTAACGTAAGAATTTACCAATTACGATCGAGTATTTATAAACATGGCGATCTTACGTTTCGACGATTCTCAACATGATTGGTCAATTCTTACGTTACGTCTTACGATTACTGTTACGAAAAGTATGTGTGGCCAACTTAAGAAATAAGCAGTAATTAAACAGACCAATCACAATCGATTATTTTTGAAATGTGGGAATGGAATTGGTCAATTTGCTTACTGCTTATTTTTTACTTCTACTTCTACTGCTTACTCCATCTATTGTAGATCGGGTCAAAACGAACAATACTATTGAATGCAGCTTATGGAGGGACGCTCAATGCCAAGCCGCCAATACACTAACTTCGTACTCGGTATTCAATGTGGCAGTGAGATCCCTTCGTTACAGAGTAGGGTAGTAGGGGGTTCGGATCCCATGTTCTGACTGGCTATCGATGAGAATCTGGTATCATTAAATGTATGTTTGGTGTCAGTTTTTATATTTGATTTTTGTTTAAAAAATGCCAAAGGTTCCATACACATAGGAATTTCGAGCTGAGTGACTCACGAATGAATTGTGCTCTGACTGGATTTTTTCCGAAAGTGAAAAACCTACTGTAAATTTTGCAGATGTTCAATACGTGCACATTTTGCAGATATCAAAAATGAAACCAAAAAGCATAAAATGAATTCCGATTCTTTCAGTAGTTCTAGACAACGCAAAGTTTCTTTTCCAGTTTTGAATAGAAATGACTTGAAAATGACTTGAAACAAAGCTAAAGGAGGACAAGCCTTATTTCTAGTGGAACATTGTGCAATATTAACCAGTGATCATCTCACTGAATTGTGTAGATGTTCGTTCTCTGACAGTGAGATTGCAAAAAGAATGACTCTGAAGCGAACAAAGTGTTGTGCAATTATTAATAATGTTCTTAGTCCTCACTTTAAATTAATATTAAGAGAGGACATCGCAGATAAAAAATTTAGTCTTCTTCTCGACGAGTCAACTGATATTAGTGTGAAGAAATATCTCGGAATGGCTGTGAGATATTACAGCAAAATTCATAGAGCACTCCGGCGATACAAAGAGGATCAAATCTTGGCCAAACCTTGATACCCGTACTTGGGCCGAAATTCTGTCATTCAGTGCTTATTCAGCACTGGCAACGAACTGGCTGACTACCCTTATAGAAATATCATATTAAGAATCATTGATTAATTACTTACTTTCAGTATTAAAAATACAGTATTTAGTAATATTCTGTGATTCAAATACAGCTTTTAGTACTCAAGTATTTCAATATTTAATGTTACAAATCCTACCTTATGATTGATTTCAATACTTAAATATTGATATGTAATACTTCGTCCAGTGATAAAATACTTACGCAGAACATTGTCAATATTTAAATACTAATATATAATACTTTGCTAAGTGATGAAATACTTACGCAAAGTACTGTTAAGATTAAAAAAGTACTAACCCAGACAGCATATAATATTAGTAAGTTATTAGATAAATATT